AAATTTGATTGTTGTTCGAAAGTCAGTTACGCTAGAAACTGAACAACGTTCAGTTAGAACGTATTGGAAATATGACAAGAAAGTAAATGAGTCAGCCAGTCATAAATACAATAGTCCAGGTTTCAGCTATGCGAAAGTGCGATATTTGAGTGAGGCTATAAATAAACGTTTGACCAGAAAAAACAGAACTGCAAGACTTTCTGGTAATGACAGTGAAAAAAGTCATCATGGACACTGCAACGAGGGTCGTCGGGAAAAAAGTCTTAAAGACAACGACTGACGAGAAATGGCATAAAGTAATGCATCGTGCCAACTAGTTGCTGGACGGATTATGCTGCTTGTGACAGACTGGAAGGTTTGTGACCATAATGCATAGTGTGCTGCATGAGATGCTTTTCTGTGATATTATCCCTGCAAGTGAACACAGAAAAAACTGCTTCAAGCCCATTTTGTATCTGTTTAGTAATATATCTGTGTAGAACAATTCAAGTGAGTATTTCCTATAACATTAATGTCTGCATCCAATGGAAGTAAGCATTTCACAAAGCACGTTTAACTAATGATGTCAGACAGATTTTTTATTTTAAATCTGACAGAAACTTGTCTTATCGATATTGCCCACAGCTAAATGTCGAAGACAACGGGCGAAATATCGTCTCGGTTGTGCGTACTTACTGCTACTGCAACAGAATTCGGCACCGACATCGATCATGAACTTGATGAACACGGAATTACCGTTCGGTCGAGAAGTACAATTTTCTTTCCAAGAAATCCGAATTGTTTTGTCACTGTTTCGAATCACTGCGTGAGTCACATATTTTAGGATGCCACACAATCTGGCAGTTTAGGTATGGGATAGAGACCTGAACTCAAAAGCAACTCTGGCATTTTTATCTTTTTAGTGTTCAGTATCTCTAACAGCTGATGACCTGTTCATGGTTTTATCAACAGTTTCCTTGTACTGCATTTATCCCACTGACATTAATATAGTTATTAATTAATTTACAAGGATAATCATTTTCTTTGACATGTGTGAAAAAACAAGAAATCTTGGCAGTCTTGTTCAAATAGTATGCTTTCAAATTTACATATTTACTTTTACTAATAGCTCATTGGCTGCATCATTCAACTGACTGGTCATTTCGCAGCCTAACAATTAACATAATTAAAAAGGGCTAGTGCACTCCGTGCATTTGCATTCTTTTTCTATTTAACTATCTACATATTTGTTCATACTTGAGATTTAAAGAAACAAAATTGCCATAACTATGGCCTAAGTGTATGCGCACTCATTTTAAATGTGCATGCGGCATCCCCTCCAAATAGATTCAATACGTCTACGCAAGATCAATAAACAATTCTGGCATCTCACCCGCATAGCATCTTCCCAGCCATGGCTGTTTTTGTACATTTCAATGGCAGCCGTCCAGTTGTTTGCAGCCACGTAATGTTTTTCCGCTTCTTTCAGCTGTCCCTCTTTTTCCAAATCCTCCGCCAAATGCTGATGAGCATCCTCCACACTGTCTCCTTGGTATTTTGCCATCAGCGTCATCATTTCCTCATAACGGTTAGCCTGTTTGTACATCGCGATGGCACGGTCCGGGTGCGAAGCGGCACAGTACAGTTTTTCGGCATCTTTTAATTTGCCCGCAAGCTCCAACGCTTCCGCCTCCTTAGAGTATATATCGTTAATCTCATCGTCCTTGAGGTACTGGTGGCTAATCTGAAACGAAACATTCTGTTCAACACTTCAAGCATTTCTCACAGTACTCGTTCTGCATCGTCCCACTTTTTCGCCTTCATGTACATCAGCACAGCCTCATTTGGCTTCTCGGCTCGAAGGAGAAACTTTTCAGCCTTCTAAAGAGAACTTGGTACTTGAACTAGAACGGAGTTCAGTAATCAAAATTGATTACAGCATGCTCTTCAACAGTAGAAAAATACGACGCTATTTTGTAGTAAAGACTTTTGGCAGCTGGCGCGTCTCCTATCGTTTCAGCGATTTCACTGGCCCTGATCCACTGACCGGCATTCACGGCAGCTTCCAGCGCCTTGAGATTCAGGCCGCTTTCTGAAAGCCAGATTCTTAAAATGACGTCAAATTCAAAAACTTCAGACCATTACCGATATAATGGCTGATGGCAGAATCCATGCGTCTTTCGTTGAACAAATGGTCGCCCCACTCTTCTTCCAACTTCACTACGTTTTCTGGCATGAACGTGCGAGATAGTTCGATACCTGTGCGAGGGGATGGCTTAAGCCCGTCATTAACTTCAACAGGATTTTAATCCTACCCCTTTGATAAGCTTTAGCTTTCTTGTAACATTCAAGGGCTCGCTGGAAGTCTTTTGCTTTTTCGAACAGAAGACCTGCCTAAATTATGCATGTACATATACAACCGAGCATTTTTTGAAACGCAAAACGACTTCGTTTCGAGGGAGAA